AAAGTATCTTGTTCCACATGCAAATATGATTGCGCGGGTTTAGACACGATCATTATTAGCTATAGTTTTTAACTGTACCCAACCGAAGAATGCGCAGAAATCATTAAACAGCCCTCAGTAGACTAGTGACAGACGCCGCTCACCGATTACAATCAGGATCCCAGTTTCTTTAAAGCGATCTAATGCAATTGCATCAATTAAATATTTTGCTCTGCAAAACGTTCTCCAGGTCTTAATGGATGATGATGGACAACCGATGTCGCTAATTTCCCTACATTGTTTCCGTCCAAGTGGTACGGTGAGTACCATTAGTAAAGATTTTGAAATTTATCTGGGTAATCGGCACCACGTTTAATACGTTAGTTGGCTTATCACTAAAAATACCTATAGATCTGATATATATGGTTCTACTCCAAGTTCACAGTCAATTTCTAAGGAAATTAAAAGGCTACAAATTCTAAACTGGGATATCTACCAGAAAACAGACAGAGAATGCTGCGAGACCCACTAACGATCCGAACTACTCGAAGCTGTGTCATGCAGCGGCAGAATATCTGCGAGACACGCGTGTATGGGCTTTCGGCTAGTACCTTTGCTGTTAGTATGGAATACCCTTATCCGGAAATACAATTCGGCATTTTCGAAATATTTTAGATTTCCAAAACAATCAACCGGGGAAGGGTTGCGGTGCATTTTGTCGGTAAACTTTGCTGTTAAATCAGTATAAAATTCTCCGTATTACTCTATGGGGTATTTGCTTAAAATTTGTACTGATACTTTGAAACTTGCAAATATAGGTCATTTTTTATTTGCTTTTTGCAAAAAGCTATATGTATTTTTCCCATTCGTATTTTAATAACTGCAGTCTACTGACGTATTAACGTTCGCCGTTTTCGATTTGAGCATACAATTGGAGTAATATGCATAATGGGTGTGATGACTCATAAAATGCTAACTGAAATCCTGAGATGGGTTTTCAACTCGAATGAATTACTTAGGGAGTGTTGTAGTAATAATCACCATGCAGCATAATTCTATAATAAACCAATTGCTTCAGGATGTTCGCTTTTGAATATACGGTTTTCCGGCCGCTGGCAAAACCATACTCTGCAAAACATGACCGCCTTCATAGTTTCAAAAATAATTTATAGAAGGCATGCTTAAATATACCCATTACTTTGCTAATTAGGAAGAAAATAACGACTTGTTAAATTCTAATCTTGAATAAATAGTATGATTCGGTCTTGAATGAGTTTCTAGTTATGAGAATATTTTAGACCGTCGGGGTCTCGCGCATAAAACTGCGAGGCTTTATTTTTACCGAAGTTTCTTGCAAACTTTAGAATATGGCTCAAATCGACTACGATATTTTTGCAAACACATATGGTGTCATTCTAATACAGTATAGGAATGTATGATTTTCCGCACAGGCAAGATATGCACCTTGTATATTTGAAACCGTAAATGTAATTTTATCGGTTGGTTAGACTTAAAAATAAGCGAGATTTTGAAAAGCTTTTTAAAACTGGATTATGCATTCTCTTAAAACAGAAAATTTGAAAAACGCAATATTCTACGAAATGAGTAAAGTAATGAATACGACTGAATTTTTCTGTAAAGTGTGTTTGAAAATTTAATGGCGTTGAACATCAGTGAGAAACAGTCCTAATGCTTAACAAGATTTTTTTGCAACATGTAGTTTTTGCAAGTCGGCCGAATATCAATTGATTACGATGCCGGTATCCTGAAATATTTACATTATAATGGAATTGAGCTGCGTGAAAATGCTGCACTATATGTAACACTCAGAATCTCCGGCACATTTTGCTGATTTTTAATTAAATTCGCGGCTCCTAATGCGACCTCGTGGCTCAGGTAGCCAGAGCGTTGTCTGTAATAAAGCCTTCTCCTCGTTGCCGTTCGTTTAAATTTCAACGATGGTGACTGGTTTCTCACAGTTAAGTCAAAATGAATTATTCAGAACCTGCCAAAGCATCTCATACGGAAGTATACACTGACTGATGGCAGTTCACGTGATCGGAGTTTGGAAAGTAGCTGGCATTTCTCGCAAAAATATCTGTGTACTACTCCCATTTTTTAAAACACTTAGAGCTTATTAAAAAGAAGTTCACTACTGCCGCGCAAACGACGCCACGTATTGGCGGCGAACAAGATCGTGAGGCATCGCGTCTGGGTCAAGCTGCTAAAAGAAAGTTTATGACGGTATACGATCGACCGTATTGTGTCCTCCGTGGACTCAGTGATTTAACCCTACATGACAGCCCCCCATCTGCTGACAACGACGTTAATAAACAAAACCGAGCAACATTTGCATGCATGAGTACATGCAGGTCAGCAGTACACTGCTCCTTAGCGTCCGTTAAGTGTATTTTCAGACGAAACGTGAGGCAGTTAATAACATGTGACAGCAATTAAACACGCACCGCTGAATTAAGCGAATTAATTATCTGCCTTTTAGTCGGGGTCTAACAGGCAGATTCTGCACGAGATATATCCCAAATCTAACCCACTAAATCCCAAGTTCATCCAGCCCTGAATACAGAACTGGACGCCTAATAAAACCAGCAACGTCCGCGATCTTTAGCACAGAGTAGACATCAGAACAGAAGACTCCGCGTTTCAGAAAGTTTTCAGTTGATAGGAATCAAGCCCGGCAGGCATGAAGAAGAAATAAGGACCAATGTAGGGCCATTGCTGAGGTTGCGGTTGGGCGGGAGTGGGAGTACGTTAGGACTAGCGTTTCGATTAGCGCAAGATAAGGATAAATAATCTGACAGCAGGTATTGAGACTACGATATAAGTTGAGACACGGAAATAGGACTCCCTCGAATGTAGCGATAGGATGGATGAGGTCCATATTTCCGTGACTGAATACTTTCAAGAGAATTGTTAAACGGTTTTGCTAGAAACCGTAGTAGTGCTGCTTAACGGAGAGCAGAAATCAATACTGCAGGACTGTTCGACCGTCGCGTCGGACTATTTCCAGCGTGTGCTCCGCAGAGAGGTGAGAGCAGGCACGGTGACTTGAACGTAAATTAGTCTATAGTGAGTGCATATTTACGCACATCTGATGCACTCTCTGCTCTCCTCCCACATTTGGACCCGCAGTCAAGGCGTAGTAAGGCAGACTGGAAGTACGATAATGCACTGGTAGCTGGCAAAACCGGACTCGCTCTTAGGCATATCATCACACCCCCTGGTCTGCAACATGCACTTAACCAGGATGTTAACTAGCAACAAAGGTGATTCAGATGGAAAATAATGGCATAATCCACTGGGAAAACGTACACACACAGCGGATGCGCAAGCACATCTACTGGCAGGGAACCAAATGCCAGGGAACTGCCAGCGAGCATGCTAGACTGCGTGGGTCATGCTTGTGGAATTATGTCAAAGCAGACGCACACAGTCCTTAAAGACTAAAGGGGTGAGACGCTGCCCCGCATTCGGTCTTAGCCGTCAACGCTCAAAGGTCGGGTAATCCGGCAAACGCCGACTGCGTTTTCGAGAGATTCCCCTTGAGACGAGACAAGAGTTCTGGGCTTCGCAAGGCAATATAGGTTCCGATGTGGCATTGCTTAATGTAAGGCAAACAGTTGCACTATGGTCAGGGTTTTAAGAGGCAATGATAGGTTTTTGGGGTAAGGTTTGATTTTAAGGCCAGTACTGTAAGGGTAAGTATTGGGACTAAGGTGTGAATTAAAACAAGGGAATAGGACTGTTTCGGGTGAAGCGTGAGGCCGCCCACAGTACCGGAGGAGATCCAGACTACTGACTACATTCAAATAAATATCAAACCGCATTACTGGAAATCTGATGGTCGTCTTGGCTGGGTAGCAGATATTATTGCAATCCACCAACATGTGTTTTGCCTGCAAAAATAGTCATTGCAGAATACCCTACTTGTCACCTTGTCTTTGCTGCAAACTCAAAAAATGCCGGATTGGACTGCCGTGACAGTCTTTGACATGCTTGCCAATTTTCCATGGATTGAGAATGAGCCTTCCCACAAATTGTGCGGTACCAAGCAAATCAAAACTCCCGACCCCGAAAGGAATGAAGTAGAGACTGGTTAGAAGATATGAAGGGAATGTGAGAGGATGTAAATATGCGAGTCCCAGGGTACGGTTGCATGGAGGATTGAATTTGTGATGCATGGAAGAGTAAATGCATCAGCCCGAACATATCAGGCAGGTGCAGGAGCCCATCGTCAGAGCCCATGAGTGGACAGCAACCCGTGAACAATTTATAAACTTAAACAACTTTGGAAGCGGTCTCCGCGAATGGACTGGGTGTCTATGCTGCCTAACACAGAGTGCTCTCACAGCGTGGTTACAGCCTGCGTCATTGGCTAGCAGAATTCGGCTTAACCATTTGGTAGTATGAAGGTAGCAAACGATAGCAGGATGGGGATGAGGTATTGTAACGTCCCTTGAACCGAACAGAATTGTGTGAATGATGTGATGCTTTTGGAGTATGAATCCAGAATGGAGATGGTGTGATCGCGTGTCGAAAGTGATAACCGGTATTCTGTCCGTGCATCCCGCCCGACACCTTTCACTCCTTTTCTTTCTGCCTCTCTCTGCCTCTCTCGCTCTCTCCCTCTCTCTCGCTCTCTCTATCTCTCTCTACGTCGGCAGTTCATATGGTCCCATCTCGCAATTGTCGACAGCGCTGCATTTTCCACCGGTTATCCTGTCGGTATATTTGTATCACCTCTTCATACTGACAGCTCATTTATTTTGCTGCATTTCTTATCCCCCAAATTTGAATTTAACATGTTCCTATATGTCTACACCGCTGCTCTTCATATACGTATTTCGTACTACTTGACATTCCCCCTGACAGCTTGGATGATATCAATGACCCGTTTAACAACTCCCTTCAGATCAGATTAGCCAGGAATTATATCTAGTGCTCCACGTTAATCCGTGTGTGCTGCCCACAACGCCTGCCGCCGAGACAGCATATCAACTTGTCTATTGGTGGAGTAGGTGAAAGACACCCATCCTCTCCTGCAGTTGCCGCCACGTCTTATCGCTGACTCGCACCATCATTCGCATGCTCTCAAAGTTGACTTCGTGACCTCCCTCCAGGGTGGGAATAGCGACTCGAGACGACAGATCGCCTCCACGATGGACCCATTTATACTTTAATATTCGTGAGTTTGACCGTCGTTTGTTCCAACCTGTTAAATAACGGGATCGGTTAAGGCACCGAAATTTGATAAACTACATCCACGGCTCACCCGCGTCCAGTCGGTTCTTCATTTGCATGAGTTTGGGTACGCATGGTCGCTACCGGGTTTTGAGCGACGCCAATGATAGACTCTGTGGCAGTTCGTTTCGTTTTATCTGACACAATGATTATGAATGACAGACGGTTGCAGACTGTCGGAGGTTCTTTCACATTTGTTCCGAGTGGACAAGTACAGAAGCAGCCGCTTAAAGTGCTTCGCTCGCCGTTATTTGCTCACTGTTTCCGGAGTGGTTGTGCTACTCGTACTCGTACTTTCGATCTACTGTTTGGATATTTCGGCGTTGGAAATGTCCTAACACAGCCGCGTGTCTACACAATCGAACGGTTTCAATAATATCTAAGGACCTAGTTAAGTTATTCATCTTTCTATAAACCTTGCTTCATGATGAGAAGACCTGAAAAGGGCAATTGTTCGAACTTTTATTCATGTCTTGGGAACTGAAGTTAGGGAAGATTCAGTATTAACTGTCCCCAGGGCCTACCCGTGTCAGGATAATAAATTTCTAATCCCGGAAATCGTTTCTTCTTCTTCTTCTTCACAACCCGTGCCAATTATAATGAACTTGCCGTTCATTTGTCAACGCCTAAATACAGGTTATCTGGGGTTCGAAGCGAACTTTTTCAACTCTTTTAGGGCAGATTGTGTGTATCGGGAACCTATTGGTATCCCCTAGATTTTCTCATGTGCTGAACTGTTGAAGGCAAAAAGTTCATTGGCTGTATGTAAAAATGGCTAGAGTATGGTTTATGGTCAATGGTACAGGCTAGTGTTAACTAGAGAGAAGATATTAAGAGTAGTGTAAGGTTAAAGATGGGAAAAACTGCTTAGATTTATTTTAAGATTATTTTTGGGATTGGGACACGGGAAAGTATTGCCTTTTCTAGAATTATGCTCAGGTCTACCCTTATTACCTATAGGGGCCCACCAATATTCATATCCTGTTTAGACGTCAACAAAAGTCAATCCCGCCAAAATATCATGTATTATGTGAGAGTTCCCAAGGTCGCTAAAGGCCTAAGATTTCATTTAAAGATGGACATTTCTGAACGTATTAACACGAATTACCGCAATGACGGCCTTCTGTCGAAAGTTAAAGCGTTAACCTAATGACCAAAATAACGCATATAACTTTTTGGAGATGGAAGACGCCGTTCTTTTTTTACTAAGTTCTTCTCATTAAACTGTAAGTGTAAGGTTCGCCAGTAAACTATTGAGGTGAGAAATGACCACCGAAGTGGGTTTAGCTTTCCCTTAAAAGGTTTGTCTATAGCTAGTTCAGGCCTTTTGTCAATGTAGAATTTTCCGTTCTGACGATTGCCCAGTAGAAATGATTAGAAAGTTTACAAGCTTTTTAAAATAAGTATTCCACAATACACTTCGGATAGTGTATAAGTCAACTTCACCCTGAAAGCAATTGATAGACTTAACCACAAAAACCAACTTTCAGTTTGAATGAATTTGGCGCTCCAAATGTCGTCTAAAAGCAGGATTTATGGACTTGGGCAAGCAGTCTATTGCTGCCCTACGTACGCTCGTGAGTGGAATTTAGACCTGCATTGTCTAGTAGAGTCGTTCTGGCCAGTAGGTCAGGGGTCATCAAGCGTAAAGCCAATACGTGACCTGGTTAGTCGCATACCACCGTAGGATTTTTCCAGACAGTTTGACCTAGAGACGAGCCTTGGTGCGCTCGTTGTCACAGACACACGACACACTCTGCAGGGCAAAGAATAATTTCTTTCGAATTGACCGTCAATACCCTAGTTGACAGCATCGCAGATCTAGAGATGTGAGGTATGCTAGTTGTGTTATCGTGGTCTAGTGTGTTTACCTGCCATGAGACAGTGTAAGATGTCGGGTTGGAAGATAAACCGTGCGTCCGAGAAGAGGTCGAATCAGTGACTAGAAAGAATTCCAACCTGGAAACAGCCAATGCAGCTTATACGTTCGGATTCCGTCTAACTGCTCTCCATTTTCTGTGGACCGAAGTCACATTTCTCTCACAAGGTTCTTAATGTATGGTTTTCAACAAATGAACTGGAAGAGAATTTCCGCCTGCCTTTTCATGCAAGACTGCATAGTTGGCCTCCAAAGTCCCGGTGACGCGTCGACAGCATTTATTTGTTTCAACAGGCATTGTTTGGTAAGGTTAAAACACCCGGTGACCTCGCCAGAAATCACTCCATCCTGATACGGCAGTTTGTGGTTTTGCTCGGAGCGGGTTCCTCCTCCATGGAATCCTTAGCGTTCTCCCGCCCAACGAAAACTGACCGAATGGCGGTTCTGGTAGTGGTGGTGGTGGTGACGGCGTCGGCGGTTGTGGTGGTAGTATTAGTAGTGCATATGTCACGCCTACGAACTTGTATTAATCAAGCGGCTAATTAAATAGATGTCCGCCGTCGCTCAATCTATTAAGTTGCATGATCAATGCAGCTAAACAACTAAATGTGTGAAAACCGATTAATGTCGCTAACTTTCCAAAGTTTCTGGTGGGGTAGTGGAGTATAAAATCGGATCGGTGGGCTTAGGTCTGCAGGTAGTGGAAGTAAGAAGTAACAAAAAATTTGGTATTCGAGGCAGCGTATTTTGGTCTGTGTTTCATTTATAACCCATTCCAGAAGAAGTGGGCATGGCAACGTTTAAAGCTCCCTGGTCCTAATGAAAGCTACCTAGTTTGAATGAGACTTCGATATTGGTTGATAAAGAAACGCAAATTCGGTTACTAATTTCATGTAAAGTTAGGCGAGATTTTGAAGTGCGTTCTTTATTCAGCAGAATTATTTAATTTGGGTTTTAATATTGTTTGTCATCTTAAAATATCACCTTCACAACTGCATGTCTAAGGGTACTTTAATCCGCAAAATTGACTAACTTAACGGTATGAATTTTCTCTGCCGGCTTCTGATATTCTTGTAAACCCAAACATGCGCTATTAAAAAGAGCAAAATCTCTTTCTTGTAGTGATCTGAAAACAGCTTATAACTTTTTTAAAGTTTGATGCTGTAAGCAAGAACTATTTTTAGTTTTTAGGATGCTTTGATATTATTGACCAAGCTGGAAGCGGAGACAGGGAAGTTATAACAAGTACTTAATAAGTATTAACTCAAGGAAACCAAGAATTCACGTTTAGTCCGCTCTATAAAACTGAATCGGCCTAAAATAAGAAAACTGCTTTCACTGCATACAGCATTTTCAAGTAAACACGATTACTATTTAATAACGAATGAAATGTCTAGGTTTGTTGTCACTGTATAATGTTTCAAAGGCGGAAGAATTCATAGATGATATGGGGGCCGAGTATAAAGTCGTGAATATATGACGTAGAGAATAGGAAAATTCTCTGAGTAATAATACAATATATGTGCTTCTTGAAGCATTACTTAAGCCTGTTTGAGTCTTCCGTCGTTCTGTCCGTAACACAACAGTCGTTTGTATTGCGCACATACAGCTTGAAATACTCTTGTGGTGCAGTATAATGTCTAACACGGTGTCGCTCTCACGATCGTCCTGCAAGGATTACTGGGGTATTATACTTCCACCCACTTTCTGTGTGCACGTATAAAAACTGATCATTTATATGTCGCGAGTCATACCCTGGAACGCCTTTTCTCTATTTTAATAACCAACTTATTCGTTTCCGATAAAGATCATTCGAGTGCTGAAGGCACTATATCTGGTTAGTAGGCTATATGAGAATATCGATCGTTCGTTACTTGGTGAAGTACAAGATCGACATCTGTACATATGTGGTTTTTATTGTCAGTATTTTGGCCGTCGCCACTGACGATTTCTGTCGTGTGCTTCACAGGAAGGTGAGAGCAAGCACGGTGACTTACGTGTGGGTTAGTTTATAGTAAGTGAAATCCTGCGCGGCCCCTACCTCACTCTCTCCTCCCCAACCTGAGCCATAAGCATCAAGATCGGAGGAGGGAGGGCGCCCAGATGGCTGAAAGGGCCAATCCCGCGCCTAGGCGTACCACCACAGCACCTGGTCCGCAGCAAACCCCTCACCGAGATTTTAGCCAACAACTGAAACTAGTCAGAAAAAGGAGATTGCACTGCAGATCAACGGGAACGTATGTGTCCCGTGCGAATAACTGCTACTGGGCTTTGCTCTCTGCACAATCCTTAAATACAGTGTCAGGCAACGATGATTGCTGAGAAGGGTTATTGTGCCGAACCATGTCTCGTGGAGGGCGTATGCGACATCGTCGCTTTTACAGGTATCGGGAGTCGAATCACATGATCCTGTGTGGAAGGGCAGTTCAGAATTACACAGTGCAGGCAGGACCGCGTCTTCAGATTCTATCCTACATGTCTTGAAAACATTCACTTTGAAAATCATGGGAGAAATATGACTCCGGTCTACAGATCTTGACAAACAAGTAGCCAGACGCCGGGTGCATTACCTAAAGTGGCTGGTTGCCTGTCGGTATGCTTCTACAAAATTACCTATATAATGACTGTAGTCGTGCTCGACGCGCTGCCCATCCGCGTGTTTGTCTTTTCACGAGAGATACTAGGACATGCATTACTCGGACAGCAGAAAACAATTAGCATTATCCGCAGCTCCAAGAGTGTTCTGCAGTTAACGCCCACAGCATGAAGAGGTCTTACAGGAAAAGTGTTTATTTTTCTTGCGACTAGCCTCAGTCGTTTGTTGCAAACAAACCCACCAGACCTCCTGTCTATCTTGGTAGCTTGGAAATATTCCGCCATGATATAATATTGGCACAGTCGAATCGTTGGATGTGTCAACGCATTAGCCCTGCATGACGACCTCTGACTTGCTTGCAAATGGAAAACGGAATTTTAAGTTACATGTTTCAGCGCGTAAAGGGCAGCAATAAATTTGTCCCTCATGTCCGTATAGTCGGCTTAAGGGCGATAATTAGAGCAGTCCTGTCAACTCAACATTCTTTGGGGTATATGCTGAAATTTCAGGCTAACTGAAGGGTTCCTCCTTGTGTTTGGATCTAGAATCTCTTGAGGGAAACACTGCCTCCAATGTGGCGCCGAACGCTTGATGAGAGTCAACAACGTCCATAATCATTCGTACCGAGCAAACATTAGAATGGAATTTTCTGCCTTGCCTAAAGGCCTGAATTAGGAGCTGGTAAACATGTTGAGTGAGATAACCGCTTATTTTCTGATTACCTACCTCTGAATGGACGAATAATTTTCCTGGCTAGGGAGCAAAAATTCTTATTCTGCGTTTATAAGCCTACTGCATATGGAAAATAATTTTGCCCAAATACTGCAAATTTGCCATATCTGAATGCAAACAAAAAGCTTGACAAGATACGATTGGTCAAGACATTAGATCCTTTCACATTTGCAAATTGAATCCTGTGTTTTCAGCGCTGATATTTTCAGTCGATGTTTTCTGTATGGAAGGCGATTGTGTTTACCTACTCGAGAAGCGTGCAGCACAGTAACATCCTAAACAAGTGCGATCGCATTAAAGTAAAAGTGATGTGACCATTTTACGGCATATTCTATATTTTAAAAAAACACAACAAATTACAATATCAAGCATCATATTACCACTAATTCCCCACCGCTGTTCTTCATTTGCTGGTGTCATTTTAAGGCCTTGCGCAATTTTCCACATTCGGCCAGCCCGGTCAACGTTAAGCTGTTTCCGATATAATCAATTATATTTGTTCTAATTTCATTTGGCAGCCAGGAGAGGGATTCCGATTGGAAAATAATAGGTCCCTCAATTAAAATCCTCACAGAAGTTGACAGACTTATATCCGAACCTCCCGACACTTCCCAGTAGGTAACATCAGTCTCAATGAAAGGATCATAAATCTCGATAAACGTTTTCCTCACCCCTTGATTGGGGATCTTAACGGGAGTTAACAAAATGAGTATTCTGAATTACCTCGCACGAAACGTTCATAATGGCGTAGGCAATATGCAAAACGCAGGCCAACGTATAAGAATTAGTTGACTCGACAACATCTGTGCTAATGCATGCGCTGTCATCACTGAAGTGCACCTTCTCAAAACCACGGACGCATGCGAATTCACGGACCTCTGTCACGTTTCTCGGTATTTCAAGAAGTGACGTAATGAGCCAGTTTACGTTCTTTGTGACTTTTTTCAGTCCATAGTGGGGGCAGAATAATTGGTCTAAACAGGGTTTAGAGTACTTAAGTATGAAATAAATCATCTCCATTTTAAAAGAGGTTTTTGGCGTTTTTGGCCTATTACCTGGTAGATGATGACAGGGATAAACATCGCCAGGGATGAAACACAGAATATATAATATCAACTCCACTCTATGCTTTGTAGGCCTCATCATCTGAGATAGGTTGACGGTTGCCGCTTATCTCCCAAGTCCTGTTTCAACGTTTGTTTTAACTTCCCTCAGTGAAATGTCCAAGTTCAAATTTTCTAAGCTTAAAAACACAACGCCCGTTATCAGGACGAACTGGAATCTGCAACGTATCATTAAAGGCACGAGTATCAATGGATGTAGCCCGACCTATTGTATTAAGGAGGCAGGACGGACGTCCATGCAGTTATTTAAAACGGTTAAAGGGCAAGAGTAATGTGAAAAAATAAGTCAGATGGTAGCATGCTCAATGCTCAATGATGATAGTATTGGCAAAAAATCACGCCCACCTGAATGGAGAAGAAAATGAAGAAATATGTTTCTAGTTACTAGTAGTCAAAATATCATTACTCAGCAGACTTGGAAATGTCAGTGTTGTTGGTAGTATGAAACGTCCACCGTAACTGCAGAGGTTTTATTCGAAACGGGCACTCAGTACTCAGCAAGTGGACCTCTGATATTACAAATGCCACATCACTTTTATTCTCACCAAAACTGATTCTCATTGGCTACTGCCGGGTACAATAGATGTTCACTGAGCCATTTCTACGAATTTTTGGTTGGTTAGGTTTAGAAACTTAGACGGTTAGCAAGCTGTGCAACTGTGGACGGTTCCGCCGATGTAGAAACCCGTTTTCTGGGAAAACGTGAAGAGCTTATGCTGTTGTTCTGTTGCTTTAGATAATTTCTCCTCCTTTTTCTGTTGTGCGTAGCGCAGGGTGCTGTGTTTTGCGACGATGTAATCTTTTTATTTTTGTTACTAATCGACTATGAGTGCATAATTCTAGATGACTACATAACGTTCTTGCGTGCTGTTTTGAAGACTCGACCATTCGTTTTGGACTGGCAGTACTGTAGTCATTCTAAACTCGATGAGCAACTCCTATGAAATCTGCAGGCCTGGGATTTCTGCAAACCACACGCGTGTCCTCGCGCAGGACAAGACTCATCTGATTAGAGGCGTGGACTTCTATCACACAGGTCGCGAGTTCGAGCCTCGGGTGTGGCACACTTCGGGGTTGGGTATGGCTGGCTGACGACGGCTAATAAGCCAGAAATGGCCATTCCAGTCTCCCTTGTCGTTGTCGGTAATGCCATTCTGCGTATATATCATGCGCCGCTGTGCGGCCGCTGTTTGGGCTCCAGAGAGAGCCTATAAGGCGCAACGGAACGAGTAAGTTCCTTAGGAACGATCGGTGAGCCCCCTCCTACCATTCGTCTGATTACTTGATGTTCAGATGTACTAAAATACAAATGTGACTGCTAAGATATAGCAGCGTTAGCAGCATCTAGCCGAATAGTCACAAACGTAACTGTGATGACGTCTTACTTCCACTGCATAACATAATTTACCTTGACTAAGATTTTAATCTCATATCTACCTGATCAGCAAACATTTTACTAAGCCGTAACAAAGATGCAAAATTATGTAAGATTATAATACTGCTAAGTGTGTGGTTTCAACGTAATACTGCGCATCTTCGAAAATAGACAGTCGTGATTAAAAGCATCAGGTTTGTAAAAGTACCCCATAAAAATATTAATACTTTATGTATTAATTTGTGTTTATTTGGTTCCTTTGATCTTTTTGGCAACGACAGCTATTTCTGAAATATCTGAGCTATTAGGTTATTTGGAGCAGACATCCATTAACTGGCTAAGACAACTGAGAGATATAGGTTTTATTGTCGGGGGGACGTTTCTTCGAGAATATGCTATTTGGAGATGTTTGCACTACTTTAGTCCCTAAAGGGGCGTTTTATGAGTTGAAATACGCCGCAGAACCGTCTCCTGGGAACGGGAAATCTTGCGGATTTTATTCTTAGTATACGCCTTGGAATTTCATCAAAGCAACTCAAGATCTGGAGAGCAACAATGCTTTTATTT